CAGCAGAGGGGCAGAATCTCCTCCCTTCCCCTGCTGACCACGCTGCTTTTGGTGCAGCCCAGGGCATGTTTGGCTTTCTGGGCTGCAAGTTGACATTGCCAGGCCAGCCCATCATCCAACAGCACCCCCAGGTCCTTCCCATCAGAGTTACTCTGGATCTGTTCATTCCCCCGGCCTGGATTGATACCGGGGGTTGCCCTGACCCAGGTGCAGCAATTAATTTACATGTCCACCTCAGGCACTGTCTCACCCAAATTTTAGGTGGTGGAGAGGGCTATCCAATCTACCTGGCACAACTGTTCTAAGTTTAGTAACCTGACAATGATAAAGCCTATTGATATGTGCAGAAAGAAATTCAATGTTTATATGAGTGCACTGGAGTCTTAGAACAGGGTTTTAAATGTAAAAAGGTAACAGGAAATGCCAAATATCTCTTGTCACCTCAGGATTTAGTTTGTCAAGTACTTTGAGTACTGAGTAGCCCATACTATTCTTTTTTGTAACAGCCTGATATTAAAGCACTCAACTAAAAAGTGGAAATTCCAGGGTTCCTTGCCTCTTCGGTGTTCTGAACTGCAGATCCTGACCCCATGAGTCCAGATAAGTGGCTCTCACTATGCTCGGAAGCTGAAGTATAGCACAATTTACCATTGTAAGGACACAGAGAACAGGGACTCCAGGAACACCTCATCACCAGTTATTTTCACAGTGCTTTTTACTGCTTCCCCATATACAGAAGGAGCATGTGGACAATGTCTCTGTTAGTGTCCAAAATTAGAATGTATCTAAAACCAAACAAAACAGAAGGGCTATATTCCCATCACCTAGCTCCACCTAAATTTCACTGAGTCTTCTGTGTCCCATTTTCTGGCTGTGAGTTTTCTGAAGCATGTACTCAATGGAAATTTTAGCCTAATTGGAATTTAAGCTGCCTGAAAATAGCCCCAAGGCAGCACCAGCAGAATTCAGGGGAGATCGTCTAGCTTCAGTGAATCTGTGCAAATACACAGAGCCCTGGAATTCTTTTTCTGATGCAAGGAGCTGGGCAGGATGCAGAAATGCTGCAGGAGTCCAAATCCATCTCCTGTTCCCTTTCTGCTCCCTGAGCACAGGAAGAGAGTGTGGCAGGAGGGGCAAACATATGTCTGGGAATGTGGTGCTCTGTGCTGGCAACACAGAGCTTCAGAGGATATTACATGTGTGGGAGTGAAAGAGTGCCTTATTCATGCTTCAAAATTGTCACTGTGAAATATTGTGATTATCATTTTAGATTTGACATGTATAACTCTGCATTTTTAAGATAGTTTGAATGTAACCTAAATTACTTTTCCCCTAACTATCTGGTAAGAAGGAAATTCAGCTGTCACAGATAAGAGTAATGATATTTATTAATAGAATTATAATAGGACTTAAATGGGCAGAGTACCTCAGGACAGGAGATCACAGTCCTTTAAGGATTGATTTATTCTTGACTTCTATGAGCCTCTGTTATGCTAATGATAGATACATATTCCCCAAATCCTTTTGGTCCTTCTGTGCCTTTGATTTCTTTAGAAGCTCTCTTCCCTTGTCACTACATGTTCTTGTTAATTCAGATCAGGTTTTGCAACTTGCATCATACTTTGCTTTTTTTTTTTTTTTGCCAGAATGGTTTACTGAGTTTTTTTAGCGGCTTATGTTCTTTCCCCTCTTTGCTGCATCTCCTGTCAGTGCTTCCAGAAGGGCCTGTGGGTGAGCTGCCACCAGCCAGACTCGGATTTCCTGTGGAAAACCTGCACATGGGTTTTCTTTGTTCCTACAACATTCAAGACTACCAACCTAATTAATCACTCCAAACCTTCATTAATAAATGTAATTGTGGTAATTTGGGGTAAATATGCTGACGTTTTCTGGACTACTGAATATTTTATCTAAACATGTAATTTGGTTTTTTGGGTGTTTACATAAACATGGCAATTTTTGGTAGCCCTAGATGCTATGATTTTATTGATGTTGAAAATCCTTCTCATTTCTAAAGTCAAGATGTGTGTTTAGGTGAATAGTCATGGACATGGGTGGTTACCTCACAGTTAGTAAACACTGACCACCATGATGCAAGTTAAATGCAGCCTCCATATCAGCAACAATTGAAAAAGCTGCTTATAGGTACTAATGTCTGTAGGGATAAAAACAAGAGCAAAATATATAGGTCAATGTAGATTATCAGCTGTAAGAATAGGTATAAGACTACTAGAAAACTATAAGAAAAACAATGAAGTACAGCACATTTTTCATGAGCTTATTTTAACATGAAAAGGAGGTTGTTTTTTGCATTTTTTTCCTGAAACAAAATATACTGCTGTAGTGTGTAGCTATTTCCTTGTACTTTGTTTAGTATAGGTATACCTTGAAACATCATGTACTCTTTCTTGGGACTAGGTATATATGAAACATCAGCAGCATCATTTTGCTCATGTGCTGGGCTCTGAACTCAGATGCAATTAAATATTCATCAGGATAGATACCCTGACTCTAGCTATACTTGTAGCTGCTATGAAAGATTAATTCAGTGTTATGTTTCTGTTTAAGGGAAGAAGCAAAATGAAAATTTATGGTGAAAATTTCAGGCTTCATGTTTAGAAATTATGATCCTTATTATGCTTTTTAAGGAGCCTGCAAGATAAAGTATCTGTATAGAGTTATATTTTTAATAAAAACATTCTCTTTCAAGAGACCTGTCCCAGCATCTTCCTTTGGGTGTACTTTGCTGTCTTTACCTTGTCATTTCAAAATACACTGTTTCTTAAGTGATTGTGCAGCAAAGAACCTGCACACAAAAACTAAGAGCATTGCATAACAGAATGGTGCAGTTTTGCAGATCTTATTGTACATTATAAATTCGATTTGTATTTTCTGTTTTGTCGATACTAAGATTTTAAATTATATTTTTACCTGAGGGAGTAATAGTTTCTTTGAGGCAATTTCTAGTAGAATTCATTTATACAGCAATATTCCAAAAGAGAGGGGTTAAAGCAGCAACACAGAAATTCCAATTTCTGTCCCTTGCAGGTCCTTTTTTTTTTTTCTTTCCCTTCCACATTTTCCTCTTACAAGATGTACCTATATTATTAATGAAGTTTGGTGTCAGTACCAGTGTGGAATCTGGAGGGTAAACTCAATCATCAAATTTGAAGTCCTAATCCTTGTAAAGCCAGTATGAATAACAGATGATATTAAGAGGGCACAGTAGATGGTACCTGTTCCAACAATTGCTGTAAATGTGATCTCAGTGATTCTGTTTTTCCCTCTGTATTTTACAGAGCACATTGATTTAGAAGATGTCTTTGGTTTATAACTATTAGTGTTAGAAGGATAGAAAAATGTTCAAAAATATTTGGGGATGGTATGAAATGAAAGCCATTATCTATTCTATTATCAAATTGGGGATTTGCCTAATAAATTAGATTATTTTATTTTTAATTATGATTGTGCTGCAATTATCACACACTAAATTGTAAAAATAGGGTTCTTTTCTGAATTTCAGTAATAGATTTTTCTCCAGCTACACTCCCTAGAATTTGGAAAGGAAATTGTGACCAAGCCTACACTCTTAGAACACAGCAGGATCAGGATCATATCTTTAAACAGATTTCCTGGACCTCCTTAGGTGGAAGAAGGAATGAGCAAGGCCTCAGTTCAAACTCACCATTTACTTGGTCTTCAGCTTGTCTGAAAGAGGTGTCACTTGTAATGCATTTTGAGGTCCTTGCATGACAGTCAATGGCAGTTGCTTGTGGAGGAATGGAAGGACAGAAGAGCTGAAATTCAATAATGTTTCTGTTTTGAAACAATAATTAGCTATCACACAGCTGTGCTGCCAGTGAGCTGGCTGCTGCAGCAGATTTTCAGTACAGTGATCAGCCCATAAAAAGCTGGATAAAATGGAAGGAAGCTAAAAAAAGGAATTTCTGACAGAGGAATTTGGACAAACATAAAGTAAGTAAACATGTCCATTATTATGTATTATAGTGGATGAGACACTCTATAGACAGAAAAGAGCAGCTTCAGGTTCACAAGCACTGGTCCTCATGGGGACTTCAATGTCCACAAGATCTGTGGGAGGGACAGCACAGCAGGGCAAGGGCATTCCTGGAATACACTGAGGATAACTCCCTTCTCCTGGTGCTAGGGAAGCCACTGGGGAGATGCTCTGTGCTGGACTTTGTTATCACCAACAGGGAGGGCTGGTGGGGAAGGTGAAGCTCAAGGTGAGCCTGGGCTGCAGTGACCATGAAATGATGGAGCTCAGGAGCCTTAGGGCAGGGAGGAGAATGCACAGCAAGGTCTGGCCTGGGCTTGAGGAGAGCAGACCTTGCTCTCTCCAGGGAACTGCTCGGTGCAGTGCAGTAGGACAGAGCCCTGGAAGGCAGAGGGGCCCAATAGACATAGTTAATATTCAAGGATCACCTCACCCAATCATGCATTCCAGTGAAGAGGAAATCAACATGGTGTCTATGCCAGGAGGCTTGGAATTACATCTTTAAGGTCGCTTCCAACACAAACCATTTTATGAGTCTGCAATTTTATTTTGTATCAGTGAGAGAAGGAAGTTCATCTGGTGTTCTGTTTACTGAGTCAACAGAAATTGCAGTGCTGAAGTCGATACCCTGTTGACTTAAAATGGGCCTATTTTATTTCATTTAATATTTTTTTATAGTAAACATAGCTTTGTTACTTGACTGTTTCAGGATATACATTTCTCTGTGTTTATGCCTTCTATGCCTTTTGTGGGTTTTTTTGCATGTTCATACTCTTTATGACCACCTTCACTACCCATACATATATGTTTTTCTGTCCATATATTATAGGCAATTGTCCACTCCCACTTGTACAATTTTTCAGCATACCAGTGGTAATGCAGAACAACTCACCAAAATACCATCCACAGAATTTCTGGTTTGGGTGGTTTGCCAGCTCAGCCAAAATACAAAGTTTCAGAGGTTTCACCTTTTGCATTTCAGGATTATAATGATGAAATTCGCCAGGAGCAGCTGAGAGAGCTTTCGTATTTGAATGGTTCTGAGGATTCGTCACGCGGACGGGGCATTCGAGGAAGAGGGATCCGTGTGCCACCTGCAGCTCCTTCAAGGTGTGGTAACCTGAGCTATTATGTTAATAGCTTTACAAATATAAGCAGTAGTAAAAAACCCCATAGTTTAAAAAAAAAAAAAAAAAGACAGTTACATACATATCCTGGTCAGTAAACCAAAATATTTGTCTTCTGATAACCGGTGTGGTGTATATTGTTCCAGATTTTCTGATCTATAGGTCAGGGCACAGTGAGTGACAACAAATGAGAGCAGATTATGAAGACAGGAAATGGATATTTCTGAGAATACTTTTATGCTAGTACTAAGGCAGTATGGTCAGTAGCATAAAATATTTGTTCAAAATACTAGCGTAGTCAGAGAAGGCCTCATAGTCTAGGTGGAACTTTATTTGACAAATAATTACTTTTTATACATATTAAAGCTATACTACGTGTATATACAAATATACCTATTTATATAAACTTCATTATATGTTATGTGTTGGTGGGTTATCAGTTTTAAGTGAATTTGATTGGCATAATCTAAAAACATTGGGATGTGAATGTACCCAAGTATTTTTTTATATCTAAATAACATATATCTCTGCTTATTATTAAGGCCAGTGTAAAATCTTAGAACATTGCCTCAGACTTGTTTTTCCCTGTGAACCCTTAAGAACTTCATTGCCTCAAGTATCTAAGCTACCTAGCTGCTTCCAGTCTTCTCTCCATAGAGGTCATTTCAAGATGAGTCCTAAAAAATGGACTCTTTTTTTGGAAGAAATAGGATATGGGGGTACCTTATGTTATGCTGACAAAGGAGTTGTTCAGTAATTGAATGGGCTGATCTTTCCTATGACCTCTGAGGTTTTTTCCCTGAGGGTGTCTATCTTGTTTACCATCAGTTTTTCCTACATGAGCTTTTTAATTGGTAGTATGATGCACTTACACAGAATTTTTTGCAGTTGGCATTCATCACCATCTTCTACTCAAATAGTGTCTGGGCTCAGTATTCCTTACATTCATGATCTCTGAACAGCTTGACTTTATAATGTTTTTCAGAATGTCACTGCAACAAACTAGCAGCTTTTAAATTGGGTTCAAAGCATAATCGGTGGAATTCTGGCCCCTAATTCCTGAAAAATGCCCAAATGATTTAATCAGTTGCACAGATCCTATGATCATGGATGTCTTCCCTTTTTTCCAGTCAAAAATCCCAGGAGAATATTAAAAAAACCTGTTGAAGCAAGTCCAGAGGAAGACCAAAAAATGGTCAGAGGTCTGGAGCACCTCTCCTTTACAAAGTCAGGCTGAGGGAGCTGGGTTGTTCAGCCTGGAGAAGAGAGGGCCTAGGGATACCTCATTGCAGCCATTTCATGTATAAAGAGGGCTAATAAGAGAGAGAGTCTTTTTGCCAGTCTTAAATGAAAAGAGGTTGGACATAGGGAAGAAACACTGGAAAAAGTTGTGGGTGCCCCATCACTGGAAGTGTTCAAGGTAGGATTGGGCATAGCTTTACTAGTGAAAGATGTCCCTGCCCAAGGCATGGGATTTTGACTGGAGGATCTCTGAAGGTCCCTTCCAACACAAACCATTCACTGATTCTGCAAGTCTAAAATCAGCTACTGAATCTTGTAGTAAAGTAACAAAACATCACAGGGTAATCCAATGGGTTTGGTTGTTTCAGCAGGGAACAAGCCACCGTTCCTACTGCTACAGGAGACCTGAGTTCCATTCACAACTGTGGATCTGGGTGTCACGGAGGGTTGTTATCCTGGCATTCACAGTCTTCCAAAAAGACAGCACACCCAGGAGCATATTGCTCTGAAACAAAACTCCTGATTTATCCCCCTTCTTGCTATCCTGATTTATCACCCTTCTAATTCATCATATGGTATAGATACAAGTCTTTTTAAACAGTAACAGCTTCTTCTGACTTACTAATTTGTACAGCAAGGAGATACAGCATAAATAGCCCGGAAGATGCTAAACGTCTTTCCATGCTTCTCTATATGCTCTGTTCTCTCTGTGCAGTGGGGGAAGGTAGAATCCCACACTACCAATCCTTTGTGCTGAACTAAATTAGACAGGAAGAAAAATTATTCCTCTCCTTTTCTATTTTTTCTCTACTTGGCCTTGAAAGTTTCTGCTGTCCTGCAATATCTTCTGCCAATCCATTTCTCTCACCCACCAATAAGCATGAAAATGAGAGTGATGACTGCTCTTGTAAAAAAGTTTGAGAGCAACAGAAGAGGTTCCTCGTTTTCTTCATCTTCTAGAACTGCTTTGGAGTAATTCTGCAGCCCTGTGAATTGCAATGATTCAGAATTTTATTAGTACAAGCAACAAGAGGATCAGGTGCAAAAGGCACTGGGTAGTTTAAAAATAATGCCTTTCCATAATATGAGTTCTGCCTGAGATGTTGCCTAAAAGTGCTTGACATTGTACTGCCAAAACCCCAGAGTTACATGACAGTTTCAATACTAGTAAAAGCGTGAGAGCCTTTGGAACGGGGCCTGTCCTCCCTCGTTGCGCACGCCAGAGTGATGATTCCTTTTGCTCCCGCAGGGGCCGTGGGGGTGCCGTTCCCCCGCCGCTGCCCGGACGAGGTGCCCAAGCGCCCCGCGGAGCGCCGGTGACGCGCGGAGCGCTGCCCGTCCCGCCCGTGGCCAGGGGCGTCCCCACGCCGCGAGCCCGGGGTGCCCCGGCCGTGCCGGGGTACCGACCGCCCCCGCCGCCGGCCCACGAGCCCTACGAGGACTATGTAAGTAAATGCCCTCTGCACGAGGTGTGAGCCACGCTCTGCCATGGACACGGAGCCCTTCCGAGATGGAATGGGCCAGGCCGAAAGCTCCTGTGTCTCTAACGCTTCTCCCTGCAGGAGAACGACAGTCTGGGTGATGCAGTGTGTCTGCAGGCCTGTGCTCAGCAATGTGGGTTTGCAGATTTGTTCACAGCTTACTTATGGATATGAGAGATCATGCTGGATAGTTCTTGGGGTGTCACACAAGAGCAATACAGATATTCTAAAATTTGTATTGCATACTTGAAGTTAGTTTTTACTGTAACCAATTTCCTAAGAATAACAGCATATATCCTTTGTGAGAAAATGAGGAGGTGGGGGGAAGGCATGCTGTTGTTCCAAATCCTTTTTGTTACATATTTGTATTCAACACTGTGTTACAGATAAATAGCAAATAGAAATTCAGGTAGTTTTCATGAAAGCTGATACAATGATTCATCTTTAGCCAGGAGCAGTACTAACTGACTGTCACCTTTTCTTATGAGGTGTTAAAAATAATTGTGCTGTACACATCAAAGCTTTCAAGTCATCCTCATTAATGTTTCCTCCTGGAACTGTCACCATAACAACAGATATCCAAATAGAGAAGAAAGTGCTATCAAATATAATGTCTGAATTTTTCCGGCTATGGCAAGTCCAAGAGTAAGATGAACATCCAATTTACTCCCTAATCCTACCACCAGGGAAAGATGCACTTTTATTCAATTAATAGTCTTCTTAGAATAGAAGAAAGGAAAATGTATCAGAAATTATTTTTTGTTGTTAAAGCATCACTCAGCTGTGTGTATTTGTAGTGTCACAGCCACTTCAAATCAGGGATGTACATTCTGTTAGAAAATTCTAAAAATCACAACTGAGCAACAGCTGCAAGAAAGAAGGGAAAAAAGAAGTCATTCCTCTATTATTTACTTCAACACAGTTTCCATTAATGAATGAGCTAAAAGTCCTGCTAAGAAATGGAATTTCATAAGTATACACTTGCTTGACAGTGTATTATTGTCTGTTAGTATCAAAATGTATAAGACCTTCCTTTCTGTGCAGATACAGAACCTTTGTAATGTAAAATTAGGATTATAATTGAAGTAATTGATTTTTTCATTTACAGCACTAGTAAATGTCCTAGAGTATTAAGCATCTTCTAGGGAGCATTTCTTGCACTTTTTCTGGATGGTAAATGCATGGAAATCAAAATGAGAGAGAAGTTAAGGCAGCTGGATTATCCAGGTTAGGAAGGCATTCAGCCAGTTCCCCATATTTTTGAAATGACCACACTCTCAGGAGCACAAAACATAGATTATTAAATTAAAATAGTCAGTTTAATTTGTGATACGTTAGTCCAGTAAAAACAGACATATGTGTTTGTGGGTTTTTTCCCCCTTCTTAAATAGCAGCTAAAAAAGTGCTGCCTTATAGGTCAAAACTCATGTTTTGGAGATCTTCCATCTCCTGTGTCCTTTCAACATCTATATTCTACAGCTGGGAATATATGACCTTGCTGTCATGCACCAGTCTGCAATGAAAATTTCTTGTTATTTTATAGAAGTTTGTAAGTTCAGTCTAAGTAATTTTGGTATCTTATGGGCTGAGATAATAACTAGAACTCGGATGCTATGCTGGTAGAAGGAAAAGTTCACTGTCACATATCTGTGTATAATGTTGAAAATCATGTTTTAGAGAAAATATTTTTATTTTGCCGAAAGTAATCAACACAGTTTTTCTTCCCAAGTAAACCATATAATAAATCAGATACTTGTCTGGACACTAAAAGCAAGTGAATCTATTTGTGGATCTGCAGCAAATGTCATGTATAATTGTTGTTCTTTCCTCCTTAATCCTGCAAATGAAATACTAATTTATAATGAATAATTTATTCAATTTACTTTTTTTTTTCCTGCTTCTAAACAACCTACAAGTGTATTAGAATTTCCTTATGAGTTTATATTTTTCATTTTTGATTACAGTATTTCACACCATTTTTTTCCTACTATTTGCAAGCACCATTGTTTTGACTAGTGGTACATATGAATGCACTGTCATTGATTGTGAGTATCCATCTTCTGTATTTTTGTTTGCTCTAATGAAACATAGTAACTTGAATGCTGATCTGAAAGTGAATTCAAGAAATAGAATCGAATGACTACAACAGATTTTTTAAAAATGTTTAGGCAGCATTTCCTGAAAAAAATCTTTAGCCATTTGCTGAGCACTACTAATCAGAGATTGTATTGACTGTTTGACCTTGAAACATCTAACTGTTCAAATTGGTTTGGATAAGCATGTAGACATTCGGATTTTCCACTATATAAATATTTTGAGGTTTCCTGATGGCCTTTCTGAGAATTCATAAAAGCAGATGTCTGAAGGTTTCTAAAGAAAAGTCAAGTCCTGTCATTGTGGTGAATATATTCATGTGCAACATTTTGAATGTCAGACCTGGCCAGAGGGAAAAACATTTGGAACAACTTTCAGAAAAGAGGACTGGAGCAGGAAGGAGGAGTGATTCACCTCATGCCTTTTTCATTACTTGCTTTTGAAACTTGCTTTATATTGAGTGCACCCTTGATAGTATCTTAGAGGAATTTCTTAGCCACAGGAAGAGGTACTAACATTAGAAAATACATGCAAAGAGAAAGTAGTTACTTTGTGGACCTTCTTCACTTTAAAAGTAGTTAATTTGGTGTGAATCTGGATGGAGAGTGTAACTGGCAGCTGCCATGCAGCTTTTGGGATCAAGAGGGTTTGTGACCTGGTGTTGTGCTTTAACTGCAGCCACACACAGGTGCTCACATCCCTGGTGAGGTCAGAGAGAGACGAAGAAGTGTAAAAGTGAGAAAACTGTTGGGTTGAGACAGGATAGTTGTAGTGGGTTGGCGCTGACTGGATGCCAGACACTCACAAAAGCATCTCTATGACTCCCCTCCACAACTGGACAGGGGAGAGAAAATATAATGAAAGGTTTATGAGTTGAGATGAAAACCAGGAGAGAAATCACTCACCCAAGTGAGTGATACCATCAAGGGAAAAACAGACTCAATTTGGGGATGTTAATTGAATTTTTTACCAACAAAATCAGAACAGGATAATGAGAAGCAAAATAAGACCTAAAAATCACCTCCCCTCCCATGCCCCCATCTCCTTCCCAGCTCTACCCCGTCCCTGGGTGCAGTTAGACAGGGAATGGGGGTTACAGTCAGTTCATCACAGGTTATTTCTGCTGCTGCTTCCTAGAGAAAGGAGTTTTACACCTGCTCCAGCATGGGCTCCCTCTCCACAGGTCTGCAGATTCCCTCCCGGAGCCTGCTCCAGCACAGGCCTCCCATGGGGTCACAGCCTCCTCTCAGGCACCCACCTGCTCCAGTGTGGAGCTTCTCCAAGGGCTGCAGGTGGATCTCTGCATCCCCACGGCCTCCATGGGCTGCAGGGGCACAGCTGCCTCACCAGGGGCTGCACCAGGGGCTGCAGGGGAATCTCAGCTCTGGCACCTGGAGCATCTCCTGCCCTTCCTTCTGCACTGACCTTGGTGTCTGCAGAGCTGTCCCTCTCACATATTCTCAACCCACTCTTCTCTGGCCACAATTACATGGCCTTCTTTTTTCTTCTTCTTCTTTTTAAATATGTTATCACAGAGGTGTTACTATCAACTCTGGTTGGCCCAGCCTTTGCCAGTGCTGGTTCTGTCCCAGAGCAGGCTGTCGTTGGCGCTGATGAACATGTGGAAGTCTTCTGGCATCTTCTCACAGAAGCTCCCCCTGTAGCCCCCTCCCCACTATCAAAAGTTTGCCACACAAACCCAATAGAACAGGTACATGGGTAGACAGGGGTGGATTGAGAACTGGCTGAATGGCAGATCCCAGGGGTTGTGATCAGTCTCACAGGGTCTAGCTAGAAGCTTGTCACCTGTGGTGTCTGCCAAATTTCAATACTGAGCCCAGTATTGTTTAAGGTATTCATCAGTGACTTGGATGAAGGAGCAGAGGCCTCCTCAGTGAGTTCACTGGTGACACAAAGCTGGGAGGAGTGGCTGATACTCCAGAGGGCTGTGCAGCCCTTCAGAGGGACCTTGACAAGCTGGAGAGATGGGCAGAGAAGAACTGTCTGAATCTCAGCAGAGACAAATCAGGATCCTGCGCATGGGGAAGAACAATGCCAGGCACCAGCACAGGCTGAGGGCTGACCTGCTGCAAAGCAGCTCTGGGGAGGAGGACCTGAGGGTCCTCTAAAGGCTAAGGTCTTGTTGGCAACTTGTGAAACAGGCAATAGGCACGATAGATTGAGATTGATGATTTATACAGAAGTGAAGAGTACTTGAGTAGCTCTGCTACTATTAAGGCAATAAATAGTAGAATCATAGAATAGTGGAAGAGTTTGAGTTGGAAGGCACCTTACAGATCATCTAGTTCAAGACCCCTGCCATGAGGGTTTCTAGACCAGGTTGCTCAAATCCTCATCCAACCTGACCTTCAACACTTGTAGGGATGGGGCAGCTGGACTGGGCAAAGGCAGTGTTCTGCACGGTATATTTTGGTCTGAGCATCCAGACTTTTCCACTCGAAACTAAAGCTAAATATTAGAAGGGTGCTTAATCCAAATCTAAGCCAAAACTACTGTTGGTTTCTGATCCTGTTTTGGAGAGCATTTGACTCTGGATCTATATTTTTTCCATCTGAATCAAAAGCCAGTAATGAACTGTCCAGTGATATTTTTCTTTACATTTTTTTAGAAGCTATGGTGAGCCTTGCTAAGAGGTCTGATGTGAGTTTTGAAGTGACTTACCACTTGTTCCTTACACCAGATGGAAAGAATTACCAAAATGGAATACATTTGGGACTAAAATACACGTTACTTTTGTATTTTACCTCCACTTGCATTTTCACTCATGGATAAATAGAGGACTTTTGCACAGAAAGCCACTCATCATAATGTGAATACTTAGATAAGCTTCTTGCTATTACAAACAAATA